CGAGCATTATTACCTTGGTGAACTGAACAGATCCGCTTCGTCGAGACTAAATACAAATAGTGCACGAAAAATGGGACATACGTTTGATTTACTATGCCTTGAGCTGCCAGCTGGTCTTCTTCATCAAAAACATTTTCGCCACGTTCCGCCATGAAGTCACTGCAAAGATTTTTTTAGGCGATATATAGAAAATTACCATTTATCACCCCCATCCAGCTCAAATAATGATGTTTTGTCGTGCAGTATCGCTCTCTATCTCTCGCTTACTCTCTCGCCCTCCGTTGCTCTCGTCCGATCGCTCTCTATATCTCTCCCTACTCCCTCCCTCCGTTTCTCTCGTCCGATCGCTCTCTATATCTCTCCCTACTCCCTCCCTCCGTTTCTCTCGTCCGATCGCTCTCTATATCTCGCTTACTCTCTCCCTCCATTTCTCTCGTCCGATCGCTCTCTATATCTCGCTTACTCTCTCCCTCCGTTTCTCTAGTCCGATCGCTCTTTATCTCTCGCTTACTCTCTCGCCCTCCGTTTCTCTAGTCCGATCGCTCTCTATATCTCGCTTACTCTCTCGCCCTCCGATGCTCTCGTCCGATCGCTCTCTATCTCTCGCTTACTCTCTCGCCCTCCGTTTCTCTCGTCCGATCGCTCTCTATCTCTCGCTTACTCTCTCGCCCTCCGTTTCTCTCGTCCGATCGCTCTCTATATCTCGCTTACTCTCTCCCTCCGTTTCTCTCGTCCGAACGCTCTCTATCTCTCGCTTACTCTCTCGCCCTCCGATGCTCTCGTCCGATCGCTCTCTATCTCTCGCTTACTCTCTCGCCCTCCGATGCTCTCGTCCGATCGCTCTCTATCTCTCGCTTACTCTCTCGCCCTCCGTTTCTCTCGTCCGATCGCTCTCTATCTCTCGCTTACTCTCTCGTCCTCCGATGCTTTCGTCCGATCGCTCTCTATCTCTCGCTTACTCTCTCGCCCTCCGATGCTCTCGTCCGATCGCTCTCTATCTCTCGCTTACTCTCTCGCCCTCCGTTTCTCTCGTCCGATCGCTCTCTATCTCTCGCTTACTCTCTCGCCCTCCGTTTCTCTCGTCCGATCACTCTCTATCTCTCGCTCACTCTCTCGCCGGGTCACTCTCTATCTCTCGCTCACTCTCTCGCCAGGTCACGCTCTATCTCTCGCTCACTCTCTCGCCGGGTCACTCTCTATCTCTCGCTTACTCTCTCGCCAGGTCACTCTCTATCTCTCGCTCACTCTCTCGCCAGGTCACTCTCTATCTCTCGCTTACTCTCTCGCCAGGTCACTCTCTATCTCTCGCTCACTCTCTCGCCAGATCACTCTCTATCTCTCGCTGACTCTCTCGCCAGGTCACTCAGTATCTCTCGCTCACTCTCTCGCCAGGTCACTCTCTATCTCTCGCTCACTCTCTCGCCGGGTCACTCTCTATCTCTCGCTTACTCTCTCGCCAGGTCACTCTCTATCTCTCGCTCACTCTCTCGCCAGGTCACTCTCTATCTCTCGCTCACTCTCTCGCCAGATCACTCTCTATCTCTCGCTCACTCTGTCGCCAGGTCACTCTCTATCTCTCGCTCACTCTCTCGCCAGGTCACTCTCTATCTCTCGCTCACTTTCTCGCCAGGTCACTATCTCGCTCTCGCTCACTCTCTATCTCACGCTCACTCTCACGCCAGGTCACTCTCTATCTCTCGCTCACTCTCTCGCCAGGTCACTCTCTATCTCTCGCTCACTCTCTCGCCAGGTCACTCTCTAATCTCTCGCTCACTCTCTCGCCAGGTCACTCTCTATCTCTCGCTCACTCTCTCGCCAGGTCACTCTCTCGCTCTCGCTCACTCTCTATCTCACGCTCACTCTCACGCCAGATCACTCTCTATCTCTCGCTTACTCTCTCGCCAGGTCACTCTCTATCTCTCGCTCACTCTCTCGCCAGATCACTCTCTATCTCTCGCTCACACTCTCGCCAGGTCACTCTCTATCTCTCGCTCACTCTGTCGCCAGGTCACTCTCTATCTCTCGCTCACGCTCTCGCCAGGTCACTCTCTATCTCTCGCTCACTCTCTCGCCAGGTCACTCTCTATCTCTCGCTCACTCTCTCGCCAGGTCACTCTCTATCTCTCGCTCACTCTCTCGCCAGATCACTCTCTATCTCTCGCTCACTCTCTCGCCGGGTCACTCTCTATCTCTCGCTCACTCTCTCGCCAGATCACTCTCTATCTCTAGTATCACTCTCTAGCGCGAATTTCGCGCTTTTTTTGAGTTCAAGGAGTGGTGAAGGCTAATCCATAAGGCTTCTGGGGCTAGACAAAAATGCAGCGCGAATTTCGCGCTTTTTTTGAGTTCAAGGAGTGGTGAAGGCTAATCCATAAGGCTTCTGGGGCTAGACAAAAATGCAGCGCGAATTTCGCGTTTTTTTTTGAGTTCAAGGAGTGGTGAAGGCTAATCCATAAGGCTTCTGGGGCTAGACAAAAATGCAGCGCGAATTTCGCGCTTTTTTTTGAGTTCAAGGAGTGGTGAAGGCTAATCCATAAGGCTTCTGGGGCTAGACAAAAATGCAGCGCGAATTTCGCGCTTTTTTTGAGTTCAAGGCTAATCCATAAGGCTTCTGGGGCTAGACAAAAATGCAGCGCGAATTTCGCGCTTTTTTTTGAGTTCAAGGAGTGGTGAAGGCTAATCCATAAGGCTTCTGGGGCTAGACAAAAATGCAGCGCGAATTTCGCGCTTTTTTTTGAGTTCAAGGAGTAGTGAAGGCTAATCCATAAGGCTTCTGGGGCTCGACAAAAATGCAGCGCGAATTTCGCGCTTTTTTTGAGTTCAAGGAGTGGTGAAGGCTAATCCATAAGGCTTCTGGGGCTCAACAAAATGCAGCGCGAATTTCGCGCTTTTTTTGAGTTCAAGGAGTGGTGAAGGCTAATCCATAAGGCTTCTGGGGCTCGACAAAAATGCAGCGCGAATTTCGCGCTTTTTTTGAGTTCAAGGAGTGGTGAAGGCTAATCCATAAGGCTTCTGGGGCTAGACAAAATGCAGCGCGAATTTCGCGCTTTTTTTTGAGTTCAAGGAGTAGTGAAGGCTAATCCATAAGGCTTCTGGGGCTCGACAAAAATGCAGCGCGAATTTCGCGCTTTTTTTGAGTTCAAGGAGTAGTGAAGGCTAATCCATAAGGCTTCTGGGGCTCGACAAAAATGCAGCGCGAATTTCGCGCTTTTTTTTGAGTTCAAGGAGTGGTGAAGGCTAATCCATAAGGCTTCTGGGGGTCAACAAAAATGCAGCGCGAATTTCGCGCTTTTTTTTTAGTTCAAGGAGTGGTGAAGGCTAATCCATAAGGCTTCTGGGGCTAGACAAAAATGCAGCGCGAATTTCGCGCTTTTTTTTGAGTTCAAGGAGTGGTGAAGGCTAATCCATAAGGCTTCTGGGGCTGGGCAAAAATGCAGCGCGAATTTCGCGCTTTTTTTTGAGTTCAAGGAGTAGTGAAGGCTAATCCATAAGGCTTCTGGGGCTCGACAAAATGCAGCGCGAATTTCGCGCTTTTTTTTGAGTTCAAGGAGTGGTGAAGGCTAATCCATAAGGCTTCTGGGGCTAGACAAAAATGCAGCGCGAATTTCGCGCTTTTTTTTTGAGTTCAAGGAGTGGTGAAGGCTAATCCATAAGGCTTCTGGGGCTCGACAAAAATGCAGCGCGAATTTCGCGCTTTTTTTTGAGTTCAAGGAGTGGTGAAGGCTAATCCATAAGGCTTCTGGGGCTCGACAAAAATGCAGCGCGAATCTCGCGCTTTTTTTTGAGTTCAAGGAGTGGTGAAGGCTAATCCATAAGGCTTCTGGGGCTCGACAAAAATGCAGCGCGAATTTCGCGCTTTTTTTTTGAGTTCAAGGAGTGGTGAAGGCTAATCCATAAGGCTTCTGGGGCTCGACAAAAATGCAGCGCGAATTTCGCGCTTTGAGTTCAAGGAGTGGTGAAGGCTAATCCATAAGGCTTCTGGGGCTCGACAAAAATGCAGCGCGAATTTCGCGCTTTTTTTTTGAGTTCAAGGAGTGGTGAAGGCTAATCCATAAGGCTTCTGGGGCTCGACAAAAATGCAGCGCGAATTTCGCGCTTTTTTTTTGAGTTCAAGGAGTGGTGAAGGCTAATCCATAAGGCTTCTGGGGCTAGACAAAAATGCAGCGCGAATTTCGCGCTTTTTTTTGAGTTCAAGGAGTGGTGAAGGCTAATCCATAAGGCTTCTGGGGCTCGACAAAAATGCAGCGCGAATTTCGCGCTTTGAGTTCAAGGAGTGGTGAAGGCTAATCCATAAGGCTTCTGGGGCTCGACAAAAATGCAGCGCGAATTTCGCGCTTTTTTTTGAGTTCAAGGAGTGGTGAAGGCTAATCCATAAGGCTTCTGGGGCTCGACAAAAATGCAGCGCGAATTTCGCGCTTTGAGTTCAAGGAGTGGTGAAGGCTAATCCATAAGGCTTCTGGGGCTCGACAAAAATGCAGCGCGAATTTCGCGCTTTTTTTGAGTTCAAGGAGTGGTGAAGGCTAATCCATAAGGCTTCTGGGGCTCGACAAAAATGCAGCGCGAATTTCGCGCTTTTTTGACGGGGAGGCGAGAGACGGTATGTGGGGGTCGGCTGGGGGCGGATGGGGGTGGGGGGGGCAGGTGGTAAATTGAAGACAACCTCGCCGTTGCTGACGGCCGAAGGAAAAAAGCGTCGAATATTTCGGGATTTTTGCGACCCACCAAGTGCCCCATCCGTTCCCCAAAAACCTCTGCTGGTTGATCTCTGTAGACCTCCTGGTCCGCAAAGGTACTCTGCTGGCTGGCCCATCCGCGACCTCCCGATGTCCGCAAGCTTCTTTGCTAGCTCGCGGCTAGTAGAGCCGCGCTTCCTCAAGGATCTTGGCAAGATTGCACGAAAATTACAGGCAGAAATCTGTCGAACATTGTATATAAAAATAGTTTATTCAGTAATTCGACAAGTGCAGAGAAATCGAGTATATTGGTCGTTTGTCGGGCTAGGCCTTCGATTCGTCAATCTTCGGATCGGCACCCGGCCCATAGCACCAGTCCTTCACGTCGGTCAAGCTCTGCATCTAAAAATCAAATAATCATCTTACATTCCTGGCAAGTCTACCGAGAGCTGATTGACGACGGCCCGCTTGCTGGCGATCTTGAACACGCGACGGAAGCGGTTCTTCGGCTTCTCCTCGGGCTGCTTCATCGTGAGCTTCTGCTCGAGCTGAGCCCGCAGATCAGCCACATTGTGATCGGGATTCTGGCGGATGCTCGGTCTGCATCGACGAATATTAGATGACACAAAATGGGTCCTACTCGGTGTCAGTCATGTCAGTGAACATGCCAGAGTTGGAGGAGATTGACATCTGGGAGAGGTGGTTCTGCGGAGCAGCAGGAGTCGGTTCCGACTCGTTCTTGGTCTACAATCGGTAGATAGGCTAAACTCCAGATAACCCCCCCGCAGCCGACCCCCACCTACCGTATCTCGGCTCCCTGTTCATCTACAGATGTGTAAAGTATACCAAAATACTCGCCACAGCAAGACGAACATTTTGGTATACTTTACACACCTGTAGATGAACAGGGAGCCGAGATACAAAAGTTGGGTGCCGGCTGGGGGGGTTATCTGGAGTCTTACCGGTAGATAGAAAAAAAAGAAAATAATAAAGAAAACGAGACCTCAGTGACAGCCGGGGCCGACTTGGTGGGCTGAACCTTGGTCCAACGACGAATGAAGAGACGCTCCTTGGTCTCACGGAACGTTTCCATCACTTTGACGAAGGGACCAGAGGGGACATTCTAAAAGAAGCAATAATCGACAGACAGAGACAATTACAGTAGCAGCATCGCATTTGACGGGCGGCTGGGCCGTATCGTCATTTCCCGGCGCCTCCGTGCAGGTCCACGAAATGGCAGAAGCTAGTAATTCAAATTAATCTGTCGATCCAGAAGAAATACCCTGCTTCTCGAGTGCCGTCACGGCGTCGCCAATCTCTTCACACTTCGGCGGAGGCTTATTGAGACGAGCCACAAAATCGTATTTCGGCTTGTTGACGTCGGAAAGGGAAGAGTAGGCGGTGGAGACGGGCTCAGACTCGTCCTCACTTTCCGGCTCCTTTTCCTCCACCTCTTCAGCCACCTTCACCTTCAACGGGTTCGACCGAGCGAGAGCAGCCCTATGATGGATCGGGTAAGGTGAGTGGCGAAATGACAAACTTCTTGGCAGCCAAGATGTGTTCGAGACGGTTGTCGTGGGCGGCGGTGAGCAGATTGCGCCACTGGGCCCCCAGAGCATTCGGCGCATACACGTGCACATTTCCGAACGGGTACCGCAACTTGATATGGGTCCAACGCTTAACGATAATAGAAATGGGAAGTGATGAATGGTTATACCCCAGATTTCTCCTGCTTGGTGCGGACTTGGATCATTGTGGCCGATGGGACATGAACAATGTAGCCTAGAAGTTATAGTTTCAGAAGGCCACGCCCAAAAACGTACCCTTGTTGTCACTGGAATAGATGACGAGGAATCCCTTGGATGTGAGGGTAGCGGGCACACACTTGACGGCCGAATAATAATCCCAGAGCAAGTTCCTCGACTTGACGAAGATGTAGGCCTGGTGATCGAACAGCACATCATCGTCGTAGACGCGCCAGTTGCGCCGGTCAGGCAGGTTGAGTTTCTGAAATAGCGAAATCCAGAATAGGAAAATTGGCTTACCTTGGAGAATGACTTGCTAGCCGTGTAGCTCAGGATACGCCCGCCCATTTAGTAGACGCCGAAGTGTGTCGAGGATAAGAAAACGGTAAAATCCTTCGACCCATCATGTTTTGTCTTATACGATCGATCGTATGAAAATGCTGACTCTCTTCCTGTTGCAGTGCAGACTACATGCAAATTGCGAAAAATGCTGATACATTTTATTTCCCAGTTTCCCCAAATGGAGTGCATGACAAAAGAGATACTGAATCACTGTCACAATACTCGCTTAATTAAATCACAGATAATCGCATAAATAAAGCGTTTGCTGTTTAATTAAAGCCCAAGTCAGCGCATAGATGAAGGCAGAAGATTTTGTTTATTTGCGTTTCTTGTTGGCGGCCTGCGCGGTGGTGGCAGACATCTTTGAGTATCTCTCCTAGAGATGTGGTTTTTGCCGAACAGTTCTCCACTCACGTATCCAGCCTCAGAAGCGAAGATGAGCAGCGGCACCGAGATGAGCACGGTGATGGTGGCCGCGACGCGGTGGATCAACGCCGCTTGGAGGACAGCAGCGATCAAACACACGGATATCTAAAGTGACCCTTTAGTCCTTTGTTAGTGAATTTACCTCGGTGAGCCCGACCTGCGAACTGGGGCCATTTATCGCCATCTGATAATTGCTGACGGCAGTCAGACCGAAAATGAAGACGACTGCACCAAGAGCGCCACCACACAATGCACCGACTCGAGATGCGACGATGAAAGATTTGGCTAGCTGAAAAATAGGAAGTGAAGAATGTAATTCAAAATCGGACCTGGCCACCGACAATAGCGGCTGCAGCCAATCCAGCAGAAATGATCGCGCTTCGCCCGTGGTCTGCCATCTAAACGGCAAATTACTAATCGCGGACGGATAGTTCTCCTTGTTTGCAAATCCATTATATTCTGATAAACTGATACAATAAAACAATAACCCGTTTCCGACAAAGACGGAAAAAGAACTTACAATCAATAGATTGGTTAACTTTATCACCGGGGCAACAACAAGCACAACATAACAAAAGAAAACAAAACAATCAACAATGAAAAATCAGAAGGCAAATAGAAACAACTATAATTTTGGATTCGATAGCATCGGCAGCTTCCAAGAACCGATTGGCAGCTTCGGAGGGCACATCTCGGGCTCTAAAAAATGAAAATATTTATATTGAAGTGGGTGCTCACCGAGAACAAATGATGCAGGCATTCCACCGTCTTCTGGGATGTTGAGCACGTTGTCGATAGTGTACTGAAAAAGGTGATAGGCTCAAGATATAGAATACCAAATGATGAAGGGGCCCGACGAGGTGGTGGGGGTGCAGACGTTGGGGCCAAAATACGTGAAGCAGCGATTGGCACTTGGCTTCCAGTTCGGAAATTGACGTCTGTGTCGATAGAGCCTCATCCAGAGCCGAGACGCGAACCAGCGGCCTCAGAATGAGAGATGCTTCTCCTGAAACGAAGTCAATAGAGACGTCAATAAAAAATCCCCAACTTGTCATCAATTCCATGGATGAATATATTTCGTGAGCTGCCAGCAAAATGGCCGCATCCTCCCATTCACCGCCCTCTTTCAGATTCCGCTTCTTCTTCTCGATAGTTTTGCGCTTGCGAGCGGTTGCCTAGACAGGTTATTTTTGTATGGGTGTGGAAATGCCTAGTAACTTCATAGCCGTTTTTCTGTTTTTAATTAAATAAAATTATATTTAAAATAACAGAACTATCTAAAAACTTTAAAACGTGTTCAAAAAGTCGTCATTTCGGTCTACTAACAACCATTTTTGCTCACAAAAATCTATATTTTTGTATTTTTTTAAAATAGAAAGTTGTACAGTTTTTATCATAAATTTAGTAATCGTAAAAAATAGTTTAGAAACACTTCCGCTATTGATATCAGAAACAGGATCCTTAGAAAAAAAGTTGGTCCCCCCGATAATGCGAAAGAACCCCAAAATATTAATTTTAATGCGGTCGGTCTGAATATATACCGTAGTCGAAGCCCTGCTGCTACCGGATCGGCTCACGCCGCTGGCAGTGCTGGCCTCACTGAAAGCGTCGATGTCCTCCAGGTCCCGCCCAGTTTCGAGTCCTTCCTACAGATTACAAATATAAAGTTACTGTGTGTCCTTGTCACCTTCAAATTGACCAATCGTCGTTCCTTGATTGTCCTGACAATCTTTAATCTTTCCACATGCTTCTCCACTTTCGCTCTTTGAGTGTCAGCTTTCCCTCTCAAAAGTTCCGCTCGATCCAAAAAGCCTCGCACGGGTGCTCTGGAAGGCTGAAGCCGAATACTACGTAGTAGTACTCTGATAGCATACCTTTCTCATCAACATGGGCTTTATCCAAGGCTTCTTCCCATCTCCCAGCCTCGACGAGCGCTTCACAAATGGTCGAGACAGATGAATCCTGTAAAGAGCGATCAAAGAAATAGATAGCACTGAACCGTTAGCACGAGGCATTCCACCAGCTTCTCCCAGCTTGACGTCGACTTCAACAATGCGCACATCTTCCGTAGGACTGCCTGAAGACGAATTGGTTCTGGACTGTTAGCGGGGGGTTGATTGGGAAACCAAATTTTGTCTAGTAATTCCGCATTCCGTATTACTCTATAACCAAATGTAAACGATTTTTAAGAGTTTTACATACGATAGAAAGTCTATAAAAATTTCGACATTTTCCTCTTTTTGATCAAAAATGTATGAAATGACGCAAAAAGGTAAAAATTTAATTTTGCAAAATATTTTTATAACTTGCTGGCAATGAAAAACAACTAAGAACACCATAAAACTACACTACCTAGTATCACTCGGTGGAAATAGTTTAACGATAAAGTGTTTCCCGCTAACAGTCCAGAACCGACGGATTAACGGATATACCTTGATATCATCCTCTGACCTTCCGACCAATTTTGCTACGCGATAATACTCTGTCGGTTCCCTAGCTTTTTCCAGACAGCTAAAACAGTTGAAAAATAAATAAAAAAACGGTTGAATTACCGCGCTTGGTCCTGCAATCTCCCGGCATTCGCATAAATTAGAGCCGCCTCAGCCCATTGTGCCTTCGTTTCCAAGAATTCGGCGTATATAGCGCAGATTTCCTAGAGGTATAGCACAATATAAAACTGCCAGAAGTGGTAGCATCCCAGAATCCCAGGATACTACATACCCTATATTTGCCAGTGGCCACAAATGTCCGCATGGCCGACGCGTAGATGCCTTTTTGTTTGATAAGCTGCACGGCCTCCTCGAAATGCTGGTCCAGTCCGGCGATATGCTTCAGCGCTCCGTCCCAGTCCTCACGCACCAAATCCGTATGGAACTTGCGATATTCCAGGGGTTCGATCTAAAGCACGTGGCGCCATGAAAAACGCTCACTTTTCGCAAGCGATTGAGCAATGGTAAAAATTCCTTTGGGTCCGCGTTTGAAGCCTCGGCCACCTGAATTTGTTTTAAAAAGTTGTCATAAACGAGAATTACCTGAACAGTCAACGGGAGATCATAGGTGGACAGGGCCGCCGAGAAAAGGGCCTTGGATTCGACGAAGAAGCCGACATGGTGCAGCCAGTACCGGGTGGTCTTCTCACGATCTTCTGGTGAAACTATAACAACTTTCATCAAACGGTAGCGCCGAATTCCGAAAGATTCCGTTCTTTTTTTTGGAGTTGAGAGAATCAGCGTACATTATTGTGGAGAAAACAAATATTCTGACCAGCGAGGGAATTCTCCCGGACATGTCGTAGCGCTTCCTTGATACTTGGAGGATCTGTCTTCAGCAGCACGGAGAGAAGCACAGTCAGCAAAGACCTCCTCCTCTCTTCCGGGAGCTGCTTGAAGGCCTCGCTCAGAGCCTCACACACAACTTGGACCTAGCAAAATAAAATTATTTAACTTTAGGTAGCCACTTGAAATCAACAGTTTTGTCAAATTGTTCTCGCCGAAACGACGCTTACCTTATTCGGATAGACTAAACGGCTTTCACTCCATTCCGAAGGCGCATCATTCAGGGCGGCGACGAACAAATTCAGCAGATCCGGGTCGTTGACAGTCTCGATGAGATACCGCATGTCGGCAAAGAATTTCTAGAGCAGGACACCTTCACATAGGAACCATTAAAAACCTCAGGATTTTGGTCAAAGAGAAGGTTCATATCGATCCGATGCTTCTTCATTGCCTTTAGGGCTTGCAGGTAGCGTCTGTCAGTGAGCTGCGTCTGAAAGCAGAAAATAAAAGCAAAAAAATAACTGAAAATAAGTTTTCTCCTCAAAAACTCACCCGAATACCAGCGACCACAAAAATTCGTGGATGTATCGTCTCGAGATTCCCACGTGGCATCTGTAAAACCAACGAAGTGCCGGGCTCGGGGACCGCAGCGACCAGACAGCTACCCAACTCGAGTGCACGCTCTACAACAAAATAGGATTAAAGGGTGTCCCAATAAAAAACACACTCCCTATAGCTCGACGGGGAAGGGTCGGATCGGAGTGATAGTTACACTGTTCCAAAGCCCTTTGAGTAATACGTAAACTGAACGAAGTACATCGATAAAAACATTTTAAAAGCATACGATTTAGTTCGTCAGTCGACTAGTCGGTACCGACTCAAGTCATAAACAACCCTTAGTTACGATAACATGAGGCTAAATGTCGAGCTGCGATCAAAGCTTATTTTTTTACCTGAAGCATAAGCTTAACCAAAACGTGTGATCAATCTTGCTTAGGCCGGAAAAAATATCAAAGAAATAGAAATCTGTTTGAGGCGCTACTAAACTAACCCATTATCGTTTTACAAGTAAATCCCACGGAAAATACATTGTCTTTTTAAAACATGACTTATTTCAGGGAGGAAACACTGCGACTACGACTTTAGCCAGATGTCAAGAGATGTTCCGGGACTGAAGTAAAAAGGTGACTACTGCCGTCATTATACCAAAAAGGCACTCGAGATTAGCGAAACACCAATTTAATAGATTTTGACACATACGAATTTTCACGAAGGAAATTGACAAAACTCCACTATTACATTCGTTAGCACTCCTAAAAACGCTCAAAATTACCTTTTCGTGAAAACCGAAATTGCAACGCGATCGTACTGCAAAAAGCGAAAATTATCATGGATCTGCAACAAAATTCTTGTATAATGGTCAAACTAAATACTCAATGAAACGGAAGTTTGTGGAGCCAAAAAAATCGTGGAGCCATTTTTTTACGAAAAACAACTAAACGTCAACTAAATCAGCTTGTCGCATAATGTTCGTAATAGTTGTTGGGCCGGCATTTCGTTTCCCCATTCAAATTACTGGCTAGAATTTAGAGGCGCTGGCCTTAAAATGTAATTTTTCGGTTTGCTTTTGCCACGGCGTTTTACAAAGTAAATTTTACACCAAGCACATAATTGTGAATGTAAATGATTGATTTCAGGAAAGAAACATTCCGAACCGTTTATTGCACCTGTGGGCAGAAGAAAAAAAGTAAGTGCGAGATCGCGAGACAACAATTTCATTTAATTCTCGACATCTCATGAATTTTAACGAGGCCAAAACCGACAAAGCTACACTAGTCAATCTCTGTAGCGCTCTTACAAGCATGAAAAATTACATTTTCCTCAAAACGGAAAATGCAGCGTTAAGCAGATTGTGAAACCTCGAAAACTATCAAACTGCAGCAAAATGTTTCTCGAAATTGAATCTAATTCCTAAAATTTAACTATAACCTAGTAACAGGGAAATGAAAACGCTACAGCGCGGAAGAAAATCGTAATGTAAATTCTTTTCTTAAAATCAAAGAAATAATCATTCCTTCCATCTTAAAACCAAGGACTAGGATTTATCAAACGTGATTGCATAAGGTGGTGTTCTCAAAAACGGAACCATATTGGCATTTGCCGTTAGGTCCAAACCGCTAAACTTGGGACCAGAGGTGTAAAAGTTCCCACAACAACAATTCTGACTTTTAGTCCCATAGCTAGCCAGTCGTCTCGAGTTACCGCAAAACAAGCTTTATTTCCATTTTCACAGGGTTTCGTGAATTAGACCCTCTAAACATTAAGTGAAAATGACCCGGTAGGCCTTCTTTACATTAGGAAATTTTTTGCGGATTAAAATCAATCAAATAAGCTTCGATTTAAGCGGATTTTTACAACACAAAATACCCAAGTTCTGCTGAAATTAGGGATTCGCAGCGGGAAGTTTGATGCAAATCGATGCAATGTCCAAAAGATAGCCGAAAAAACGGCTTGGAATTGGGGGAAAAACAGTATTTTCGTTATAACTCTAGAACAACTGTAGCTACGGGGCTAAAAGTCAGGATTGTTGTTATTTAGGGCTGGACACCTCTGGTCCAATTTAACCGATTGATGTAACACCGGCAAAATGCCAGATGGTTCGTTTTTTTGGGACACCCTGTATACAAAGTAAATGATTTCCAGATTTGAACTGAAACGCTATTGGCGAGACTAAAAACGTAACTGACTGCCACCATATCAATAGAACGGTGCAGCATTATCTCTTGATAGTCACTCGAACACCCGGCCATCTCGAATATCAAAAGCGTGGAATGCCCGAAAGGGAAAGGTACGTGGAATGTTACTCATCGTCAGATAATAAAGCGGATTGCCCGAGATGGAAAAGGTACCTTAAATCTGCAACTTTATGAATAATGTAGTTTTTAAGGTTTATATCAAAATGCTCCGCAAAATCGGAAAATCTCATGCTGCGTTTACGTTGTTCAATCACTCTCTTTTTATGGCGGATGGGTAAGTTAATAATTTTGTTCTATTCATCATTTTGTTCTCCAAAAAATATGATACAGTAAGGCCTAATTTTGATATTGGTTAGTAAAACCGAAGTCACTTAATTTTAGCCAAAAAATTTCAGTTTAAGGTAGATGGACTAGAGTATCCAAAATCAGGCACTTTACAGGCGATGCTCAACTCGGCAACACAATCATTTCAATGATCGGGGACGACAACCTCATCATCGTCACGAAAAGCATTATAATGCTAAACTTCTGTACCAAACATGATTGACCGGGAAAATCATGTTCAAACTGGCACCGAAGGTCAACTCTCTAGCTATTTCACTCGAGTTGAATAAACCATATCTTTAAAGAGACTGCGCTACAGATATCATACCTCACACCGATGCTGCTACCGTCAGCCTGCAAATAATGCCTTCTCAAAACCATGTTAACTTTTGAATAGCGCGCATGCTCCCGACTGACGTATGTATGTATGCAAAAACGCAAAAAGAGGCGTAACTAAACATTTTTTGAACGACCGATGCTTCTCTTAAGGGCTCAGCAAGACCCAGAAAAATTCAGTATAAAACGGGTTTTAGTTCTAAGATTAGCATAAATTTTTGGTAAAGGTTGCTTAACGGGGGGCAAACAAATAACGGGGATGGAAACAATTTTTGTATTTATAACCGACAGCCTATTTGGAAGTGCCGTCGGACAGAGCGCCGAGAATATACCAGCGATTTCATTTCAGCCCAAAAAACCTCATTTTTCGCGATTTTTAATACTTTTTAGTAGAATGGTGGTATTTCGGGCTGAAATTAATGCTCTTAGTAAAAGTTTGACGCTCTATCCGATGGCATGCTGGAATTGGCACGACAGGGGATATAGGGGGAAATGGTTTCCACCCCCGTCCTTTCCACCCCTCCTGTTAAGCAAAATTTAACAGATCTTCTGTTCCGTTGTTCGCCTTATTCTCTGCCCTTTGTACTCAGTATTTCCTGTTGGTCCATTGCCAATTATTGCTGAGCTCTGATCTACTGGGCCTCTCTGATCCCATTAATCTTGATCTCTGTCCGGCTTTCCAACCGATTGCTACAAATAAATGAGTTAAATTTTAACAACTCAAAAACCAAATTTTTTAGGAAAAATTTAATTAATTCTGTGATGTCTCTGTACACCCCCTAGTATTTTTGCTAAATTCCTGTCAACCTCCAGCTTTTCGTCTTATGATACTGCCATCCACCCGAAAGCTCCGATAGTCGATAAACTCGATCCATCCCATCGCTCGTCTCCCACGCTTCGCGCCTACTTGGTATTCAGGCCGTGGCCACATCACTGCAAGGAGCAAGCTCGCGTGGCCAGGAGCTCCCAGAATGTACAGTTTGCCAGGATAGACTTGGAAAAAAATTACCATTTTTTGTCTTGTATGAAACATTCAAACTTATTGGCTTCTCTCTCTCTCTTTCTCTCTCTCTCTCTCTCTCTCTCTCGCTCTCTCTTCTCTCCCTCCCTCCTCTCTCGCTCTCTCGCCTCTCTCTCTCCCTCTCTCTCTCTGGTTATTCTTTATTGTTTCTAACTAGTTTATAATTTAGACAGCCGTCTCATCTTAGGTGATTTCACCAAACCTAAGTCGCTTCATCGAACAAGTGACTTGATATGCAACAAACCACTTGATGCCAAATGTTGTAATGGAATAATGGGCAAAAACACCTTATGGAACTGAAGCGGTATACCGCAATTTACGATGAATGGAAAGCGCGATGATTGGAGCCGTTCGTCAAATCACGCAGGTTTCTAATTTAAATCCAGTGTTGAAAACTGCTTCTGCGGCTTTTCAACCCTGGCCCCGTCTAGGACTGATGAAGTTATTGACTTGCATAATTCTTGCCGAAAACCGCTCACCAAAAATGAAAAAGCGCGCCCTCTTCCCTTTTATCAACCGTTTTCACTTCCGCCGTATGCCAATTGCTCTAACAAAGAGGGAAGCCAAGATTTTTACAAAACCTAATTTATTATCGAAAATAGCAATTTTTCAACTTTTATGTGTGCAGTCGATTCCAGCCCTCCTTACCCCATGACGTTTCTTCCTACCGAAAAATGCTTCCTGAGGCTGTAGGTGCGGAACATCCAAAACAAGGAAGTGCACATGCAAATATACACACACACAATACAACACAAACACTATTTTTTATATATAGATTCAATGAATAAATTATTTTAATTAAAATTATTTAATTTATTTTAATTTCTTAAATTTAAACAATTTGATGAAATTAGCTAGTAAGTTAGTCGACATCTTCATAGCAACCACGGATTAATCTTTTGGTACACGACCACTAAGCTGCGTAAGCTAAACCCTGAGGGGGTTTTAGACCAGGGGTAATTTCCATCCAAAATCTATCTTCCAGTAATTCTGATTTCTCTGCTTCAGAGACTTTTTACCCGGTCAAACAGCATTGGTATCATTATCAGAGTACGCCTTTCCAATTATATTTTCTTTCCAGGAGGAATAAAACTGGATGTTGACCTTTCAATCTGTCATCAACTCGCCAGCGATTCATCCATAGCTATACATCACAGCAATGCCCCTCGTGACAGAGTAGTCCACCGAGTATTCCCAGACATGGATCGTTAGTTTAAAATGAAAAAGACAAAACGGGGCAAGGGTC